GGTATCCTTCCAATCCAGGAAGTCCCTGCTCATCAGGAATGCTGGATCTCCCTTCCCGGCCTCCCTTCCCAATACTCACTGGGGCGATTTCCACGTACCTGGATGGAGACATCACTGTAGGAGCCCCCAATGACACCGGTGATGGCTGTCGGAGCATCGCTGTGGGTGGCGTAGGAACCATCAGGACAAATGTGGCGTGAGCCATCAGCACCACGGCTGAGTGAGGCACGCACAAAGTCCAGCGCCTGCTCCAGGGCGTGTGTATCCTTGGAGCAGCTGTCGAGGATGTGTGCACCCAAGCGCACACCGGGCAGCAGGTGGGGGTCGCGGTTGATGCGGTCCAGTGCGAAAAGCATGGCCTCTAGGCGCTGTATGCCCCGGTGCTCGTTAACAGGACCACACTCCTCTGCGGGGCCACCTTTCTGGTGCACTGGGAACAGCCCACCCAGCACCAGGTCCCCCTCCAGGGTCAGCACCTTCTTGGCCGGGCCCTCAGCCACAGCACCCCACAGCAGCGGCAGTACCAGAAACCCAAACAGTGATCCCATGGCCCCAGAGGGGATGGTTAGGTCCAGCAGAGCAGGGTCTTCAAGAGATGGGGACAGACTCAGCAAAGGCAAAGAGAGGAGGAAACAGGGGCCAGGAAAGGACAGACACGAAGAGAGATGAGAAGGGGGCCAGCTCCTGCAGAGAGATAGAGACCGACAAACAGGGAAGAGTAGAACCAGAGTGGCCGCTCCCCTTTATTTCCAGCTTCCCCTCTGACTCTGTTCCTCCCCACATCCCCTTCCCAGGTACTCAGGGGTCATGAGGACAGTGATGTCACTAATTATTCTGGGAAGCTCCCAGGCTACCCCCATAGAGGTCTGTCTCTCAGCTTTGCCATCATCTTGGCTAGAGATGGGCTCCGTGTCCCTACCAAACTCAGCAGAGGGCAGGGAGGGGAGGACTGGGGGCCCAGGCAGAGGGCAGGGGATCCAGCCATTGCCAAATCCTACATAAACCAGAGGGGCCTACACTAACCTCCTAGGAGATCCATTCAGAAGTAGCTGAGGCCATGGCAGTTACACACTCAGGGATCCGGCTCCCATCCTGAGCCTCGGATTTGCAGAGCAGGGGCTTTGGAAGACCCACCACAGGGAGGGAAGAGGCTCTATGGGACAGTTTCCAGCCCGAGAGAAACAGAAGCCCAGGTGGACGCCTAGGGTCCTAGACTCTGGTTCTTAAAGGGCCAGTCCCCAAAGTCTCCTAAACGAAAAAGAAATGGAAAACCCTCAGCCCAGTGAGATAGCAAGGTGGAGGGACTGGCCCCAGAGAAGGTGCCATGTAATGAAATGTCTTAAATCAGCAGGGTAAAGAGATGTGGATATAAGTGTGTCACAGGTGGGGGACAATTAACCTGGTGAGATCTCTGAACAATGATGGAGCTGAGCTACGGATGCCCAAGCTTTGCATGGGAAGCCGTTGGAGACTTGGTGTCTCCTCCGTTCCTTCACTCACTCCAAGCCCAGCAGATGTCATTTCCAGCCTTCCCCTTCTCAGCCTCTGACCGACATTAGAGTTCCCCCTCCCATCCTCTTTAGCGTGCATCCTGTCAGCTGTACCTACTCATCCACCCTGTATTAACCCTACACAGGCAGCCTCTTGAGATCATGCAAACTGGGAGAGAGACACATCTTTCCTCGGGATTGGAAAGGAAACTACAGCTTAAGAGGACAGCAACTAGTTCAAGGACCCCCGTCCTGGCCACAGAGACCAAAGCTGCTCACCGGGCTAGTCTTCTGCTTGTGCCAGGGCAAGGGAACTGGGAGCCTGTGAGGACCCCAAAGAAGCAGCTCAGCCAGGCAAACAGGAGAAAGAATCAGGAGTAAAGACTTAACACAGAGGGGCAGAACCCCAGGGGAGGCCCTGATGGAAGCTGAGGCAGGGAAGGGGGCAGAACCTGGGAGTCCAGCTGAGGGGCAGGACCAGAAAAACCTGAGAGGGCAAGCGAACCTGAGAGGCTGAGACAAAGACAGAAGCACAGACAGAAAGAAGGACCAGAGGACGCTGGAGCAGGAGGAACTGGGAAGCGCGATGCAGGGCGTGCGTTCTCTTGGGAAGAAAGGCGGGGCGCCCGGGACGGTCTTCCCGCTTCCCGGAGCTCCCAGAAAGCGCTGTCTGGACGCATCGGCCCGGGTGCTCCAGAACTCGAGGACCCGCGCGGGGCCCCGGGATGTGGGGTCAAGGCTAAAAAGGTTGGCAGTGACCGCGGCACCACAGGCTAAGCCTACCTGGCGCGCCCAGCTCTGGCGCGGGGCTCCGGTTCCCGCTTGCAGCCTCTCTCGCTGGCTCTGCGCTCTCCGCCCGCCCGCCCTGCCGCTTTCAACCGCGGCCTGCCCCGCCCCCGGCCCCGGCCCGCCCCCAGCCCCTCCTCCGTTCCTCCGGACTCCTGGTCCTCCCCCCGCCCCCCCCCCCGCCCCAATTCGGCCTGCACCTCCCGCTCTGCCGGACCTCTCCGGGGTTCCTAGCCCAGCGCCTCCAGCAGCCTCAGCAGATCCCGCTCTTGACAGATCCGCAGGGCCTGGAGCTGTCCACCGTGTGGTGCTGAATCCTCGGGCGCTCCCACTCTGCGCTGGAGCAGGTGCCTCTCAGCCCCCTCTGGCCCTCACTCAGACTGGGACCGGGCAGGAACAGGGTGTGAGGCACTGGCCTGGGAAGGTCACTGAGCTAGCACTGCGAGCATGGTGTTATGGGTTCCTACATGCCACAGAGTAAGAGGTGGACCCTGGGGTTGAGAGCTAACACTGGAGCATAGGTAAAGGGGTACACAGGAGGCAGGTGGGGCACTTGGCTGTTTTCTCAACCATTCTCTCCACCCAGTGACGGCAGCTCAGTCTACACAGAAGAAAGGCCCCATGTGAGACCTAAGGCCTGAGTCACTAGGAAGAAAAGATTAGGAGGAGGGGGAGGTCAGAGGATGGGGCCTCCTCTTCCTGTAGATGACCTTTAAAGCTCCTGCCCCTCCCCCATGAATCTCTGCTCCTATGTGCAAAGGGCATTTACTGTAGGGGTATCAGGCCATGGGGGCAGAGGGGCTTCAGGGCAAAGGACTAGAATTAACCCTGAGGGACCTGATGGGCCCAGGTTAAGGGTTAGAAGGGCAGGGAGTGGGGGAGGGGGGCTAGAAGGGGAGGTGGCTGAGGAAAGGCTCGGAGAACTGGCTGCTGCGTAGGAGCTGGAGCCTGAGCAGGAGCCTGAGCAGAGGGAGGACAGCTCTGAGAAGATGCTCTTGACTCTTCCCTCCCACAGCAGGATGGGGAAGGACACCCCTGGGTAGGGGGTGGTGGATAAGCTCTGTGGTGCCAGGCTGTGCTGAAGGATCTGGGGAGGTCTGTGCTCAGATTCGGCCTCTGAGCTTGTCCCATCTGGCCCCAGCATCTGTACACCCCAACAGGCACTAGGGCACACAGCATCCCTACCCAACCCTCCAGCACTAACCTGTCCTCCACAGGTGTCAGTGGGAGCCAGGTCAGCTCAGACATATGCTGACGAAATGCCATGCCCAGACCCCTTAGGCATTGCTCCCTACATGGGCATGTGGTATCTGGGGGAGGGGGATGGCAAAGATGGGCCCTTTTCCTGGACACTGTACCTGGATGTCCCTTTGCTCTGTAGAGAACACAGCTTTTAAACAAAGCAGACACATCAAACCCAAACAAGCCCAACCACTAACGGGAGACACGGTGGTAGCAGGGTGAGGGCTCAGAGCTGTCAGACAAAGCTGGGGACAGACATGCCGTCCTCCAGATCCTGCTCTGCCACCGGCTGCTCTCACCCTTTTGCTGGCTCAGAGAGACTGCTCCCTGGGGTGAGTGAGTGATGGGCCAGGCTCTGGGAGCAGAGGGGTTGACAGCAGGAAGGTGCTGAGGTGAGAAACTGCAGAGAGATCCCAGCCATACTTCCAGCCCACTCACCAAGGCAGCCTCACCAAAGACAGGACTTTCTACACAGATGTTGATGTACACAGAAGCAGCACAAGAAGCCCATCACATGGCCTGCAGCAACCAAGCTGCAATATCCACTGCAGCACAAGATGAAGGACAACACTCAGCTTTGTAGCCACCACTCCTGGCTGGGCACACAGACAAGGACACATTTCACCAAACAGACATAGCTGTACTCGGGTACACAGTTACACATATATAAACGTAGCCATAACCATACATGCGGACAACTCCCCAGGATCTGCATATATACATATACATACAACTGCACATAGAGACTTGGCCACATAGCCACAGTCAGTCATACATACATACGGATACACAGCCATACAAACATGCCCACCCCAACATAGTTGTAATCACGGACACACAGCTACACTCATAGCTCTATACATGGAGACACAGTAAAACACACATTTTATACATAAACATGCAACTATACACACAGGCACACCCAGCTGTCTATATACAAAGTCCACATAAATGCTTCCATCTAGCTAGCCTCACATATATAATATGTATATAATATAAATGCAATCATATAAACAGAAGGAACAGCAACATACATACATAGCCACACAGCCATCCACACATGTACAGCCATGTCCAACCACAGTCACATCCTGAAGCTCACATGGGCACAGCCTCACCCATGGCATACATCCACATGCCCAGGAACGAAGGTGCTGGCAGGCCCAGCGAGGGTGTCACCTGCTGAGAAGGTCCCAGCGTGAGCACAGGCACTCTGACGCCACAGACACAAAGGCATCTCTGGGCACAAAGAGTCTGAGTTGCCTACTCCTGAGACCTGCTGTCCAGCAGCAGGAGACCCCCAGGGCTGCTGCAATGCAGGGGTGACTCTCCACTGGGGTGACACAAGAGGGGCTGCAGGGCCTCCAACGTCCCTCTGATCAGAGTACTCAGTCATGTTCCTTCTCTTTGGGTTTGGGTGCTCCTGCCTAACCCCAGCTATACACAAACACTCCCCATGCTAGAACAAACACACAACTCAAATCCAGGTGAAACAAGAAAGTAATTCACTTTATTCTGGGTTCTGGAAGCTCCAATGAGTCTGCAAAAAGCTGGCAGCCCAGGAGGCTGGTGCAGATAACAGTCTCTGGCTCCTTCGGCCCTGGGAGCCCAAAGGGCAGTGAGGAGGTTTAGGCTTGGGGTAGGAGAACTCAGGCCCTGGGACTCCCAGCCCAAGCTGGGCAGGTTAAGGAAAAAGGGGGCTGGAGAGTTTGCTCAGTCCCTTAGCAAATGCACCACAAGAGGGCTGAGGGCTTGTGGCTACTCTTCACCCCTCTCAGGGGTGCTGAGCTCCCGAGTAGTCCCCGGCTTGGCCTCAGGGCTCAGTCGGGGTTCCCCCAAGGGCCCCTCGCCCTCCAGGTCCAGCTCCTCAAAAGACGAGCCACTGGCACCCGATTCACTGTAGCTGTGCTCGCTGCGGTCATCACCATCATCCCAGCCACGGTTGCTTGCCCCGGGAGACAGTGTGGTGGCTGAGGTCTCCCGGCTGCCAGGGCGCACCTCCAGGCTCACAGAACTTGTATCACTTGTGTCAGCTCCTGTGGCCAGGACAAGGGAGCACTGGTTAGCCAACGACCACATCTTCTCAACTGTACCTCCTTCAGGGTCAGGGCAAGGGCTCTACCACCAGCTCAGGAACTGAGCATGCGTAGTCCACTCATGAATAATATAGCCACCCTGTCTTAGGAGGCCCATTCCAGCTGCCCTCTGCCCTCTGCTCTGACTGGGGCAGCACGGATCGAGCCAAGGGAGTTTGCAGGGTGGAAGAGAGAGCAGGAGAGGAGCAGCTGGCTGCACACGTCTCTCCCTACCCTAAATTAGCTCCCATTCCCTGCACTCTCACAAAGCCACTGACCCCTACCCCCACATCCATTAAGGGCCACTCAGCCCAAGGGTGAGGAGCTGAGGGAGAACAAAGGAGGCCCGAACAGTGTCCTCTCCACCACTCATTTTCAGGCTTGGGAATGGTTTGTCCAGGACATTGCCCGTGAGGCAGGAGGGCTGAAGAAAGGACCAAGAGAACTACTCTGCAGTCCATGCCCCCACATAGGTCTCCCCAAGGAGCAGTGATATTCAGGACATCAGCTGGCTCCTTCCCCTAACCACACTGTATCCCATGTAAAGGAGGAGCTAAAACAAGAGGATGAAGAAATCCCGAGAAACACTTACCCAGTCAAAAGGAAGGAGAGTGCTAGGACGAAGATTATTAAGGATTTTCTCCTCCTATGCCTGAGTGAACCCAGGGAACCCTTACCCACCATGTCCCCACTCCAACCACTGATGCTTTTTAATCTGCCCCTTCTACTCCTTACATATCGTCCAAGTAAGCGGTCCTTTGTATGCCCTGTCCAGGAGCAACCCCTTGGCCCCGACTGGATCAGAGGCACTGAATGCAGGTGGAAGACAGTAAGGGGGAACAAAGAGCCCAGGCCGACTGTGCACAGGACTCCAGACTGGGAGATGGCCAGCACGTCATCAAGTAGAGAGGCACAGCTGTGAAAGCCGTTAAACATCACGGAAGGTGAGGGTAGGCTAGCTCACTTCTTGGTATTTGCATTGGTCTAGAGCTGTCCTTGAGCCTCCAGCTGGGGCCTAGGGTAGTGAGGGGAAGCAATACGAGGGACTGCGCACCCATCTATCCTGCCGTCTAGGCCCTACTAGCAAAGGTGAGGTGAGCCCTGGAAGTGTAAGACTGCTGGCCCTGGGCTCTCCTTTCTCTGGGGCCTTTGGTATGGCTCCCACAGTAGCATGCCAGAAGAGTACTGAGTTATGGGTGATCCCCTGACCCTGGGCAGGACTCTAATTCTTCACTCGCTCACAGTGATATCGGTATCCCAAGGGCTGCAGGTCTGAAAGGCATAAAGGAGGGGGGTAGTCTCTCCCTGACCCCATTACTGTCAAGTTCTATCTACCCACCCACCTAATGGCTCACCCAAGCCCCTTGGGTTTAGGGACCAGCCTCTTCCCTTCCCACTCCTGGGCTAAGAGTGATCAGAAGACAGAGTCCAGGAGTGCTTCCTCCAGCCCAGGCTCAGAACATCAGATGAAGACAGCTGCTGGGAACAGATGGACACTACTTACAAAGGAACTCTTCAAGGCAGGGCAGTGGTATCCCTACAGCCCTACAAAAGGAGGTAGGTCCATTTGTCGAGCCTGTGTCCCTTGAAAGAGGATCCCAGACAAAGCAAAGGAGCACCTAAATTCCCAGGGCTGTTAGGCAGGGGATGCGAAGCTACCACCTTTACCCAGTTCCTCCCTCTTCCTCTGCCAACAGCCAATGCAAGGAGATCAAATATTCATCGCTTCTGTGGAGCTAAATAATACATCAATGTAATAACAGGCACAAGGCAGCTAATCACCCCCTTTCACCTCCCAGTCCAAGTCAGGGCCCCAGCAGGGAGGCAAGGAGGGACAAGCCAAGCCTTGGGTGGTCAGGCACCCACCATGCATTGCTGTGTAAGTGGCATGCACCTGGAGAGAGGCTGCCCTGGGAGTCAGCACAGCCTCTGTCAGAAGTGGGCAGATCCCACAGCACCCACAGTAGGGAGTGGGTGGGCAGACCGGTGGGGAGGACAGGCCAAGGACCTCAGGGGTGTGGGAGCTGTGGCTGCAGCCAGCTGTATGGAGTGAGTGCCAAGCCGTCCTTTAACACTCCTGGCAGGCAGTGTTTGGGAGGGAAGGGAACTGGGTGGGTGGGCCAAGGAGGCAGGAAGCAGAGTAAGGTTGTAGGAAGGTCAAGACACTCCTCCTTTCGACTCTGGGGGCTGCCTGGGCTTACTGACCTTGTGCTACGTCCAGTGCCCACAGTAGGGGCACAGAGAGTATCTGCCGGGCACTATCAAACAGAAGGGAGCAGTACCCCATGGAGGTAATTAAGTGGCAGATGAAGTTAACTATGTTGGACACAAGCCCCAAGGGAGAAGAGACTGCCTCCCAGTACCCTCCCTGCATCAGCCCCTGCCAACACATGTCTCTCTAGAGTGACCTTGGCTGCTGAAGACTGGATGGGCAGAAAGACTCTCAGGGAAGTAAAGGAGAGGGACAGTTCCTTTCCCCACAGCCATTATCACCCCTAGAATTTCTGAGTCCCATAACAGAACAGCCAAAAGTTGGGGCCCCTAGGATTACCTGGCATGTTACCAACAGGGTTCCTTGCCCGTTGAGTGTCATACAAGATCATGGCAGCGTGTTGAAACCAGGCAAATGGCTGGTGGGCCTGAGCCTAGGGCATTCTAGCTACTGGCACGGGCTGGCTCTGGTGGCAAGAGCTCTAGAAGGAGCTCACACCGGACACGGGAACACCTTGCTTCCTTTCTTACCTTCAGACCTACTTCAGTCTCACTTCCAGAGAAGCCCCACCCAGATGCCTTCCACCCAACTGCCTAGGACGTTAAGAATTACTATTGCATCTGAAAGGAATTCAGACAGGGTCTTGTTACCTGGAGAACATGTGGGAATTCACATTTATGTGGATGCACATGTCTGAGAACAGGCAATTTCTGCATGTGGATCCTGATGTAAGGTGTCACCTTCGCTCCTTTGCCAAGTAGAATCTACCTACAAGGCCAGCTCCTTAGACAGAGGAGTCTCCTCAGCTGTATCCTCAGCTGTACAGAAGAGGGACTCCAGGCAGGCCCACCCTATTCCCCACGTCTGGTACCTGTGCCATCCATCGGGGTGTCACTGGCCTCCACATGCCCCCGACATTTCCGCTCTGTCTCCTTCACCTCCGGCACGTAGAAATCTCCTTGCCGTGCCAGTGGGCACATGAAATGGATCTGGTCTTGCTGGTAGATCTCCAGCCGAGGGTGAGCACATAGTTTCCGTTCCTACCAGTGTTGCAAAATGTGGTATCAGCACTATAGGCCTCTGACCAGCTTGTCCCATGGGAACCCTGGGAACTGTCTACAGCCTATTCCTTCTGGAGGAGTTAGCTGTGCATTCCATCCCCATCTCTTCCAAGTCTCAACCCCTACTGAAGGAGGCACATGAGGAGCCCTCCAAGAGCAGGCCCCTACACTTCAGGAGCAGCAGTCTAATGACAGAGAATCCTCAGATTAGCATTTTAAGTCAGATGCTAAAACATCCCAAGAGCCTGGTCCTGCTAATGCTATGAGCGTGTCTAGGACTAAGTAGCTGGCCTCATAAAATAGGACCATGGCCTTAGGCACTCAAGCCAAGATCTGACCTATCTGACTTTTTATGCTAGAACTTTGTGGCCTGATCCCCCTCTCCCCTGGACAATGCTGACTGACACAGAAATACCAGGTGAGGTCAGTGCCCCTAAAGCTGGGGCCTCCGGCCCCTGTCTATAGACATATTACTACAATTACAAACTGCTTTTACCACATTCCCATGGCTAGGTCTGTCAAACTCTGAAACTAATCAAATATGGCTCCTGTACTTCCTTACACCTGAGGCCAGGGTTTCTGCCAAAGGAGGAAGAAGCAGAATCTGAGCTAGAGGGTAGGCAGGACATGAGGTGGCACTGAATATTATTACCTAATGGGCTAAAGCATCAGCTTCTAGGGCCCCAAGTTCTGACAGGCACTCCATTCCCCTTTGCCTGGACACAGACCAATATTTCTTAGCCCCTAGTGCATCAAAGCAGCAGACTTATGCCTGAGGCAGGCGGGCACCACCAGAACAGGGAGCAGGTGTCTCTCGATCTAGAGTCTGCCCTCCCTTTCCTGTGATGGGGCACAATTACCCACCAAGACAACTGTGAGGCCCCTGCCCTGTCACTGTTCACCCGCCAACCTTCACAACATGGCTATTTATAGTACCTGCCAGGCTCTCACCGTGAGCTCTAAAATGAGCCTTCCACTTAACAGTAATGAGAGACTTATCGCCTGGTTCAGAGAAGCCACTCCAGGACTCCACTTGTTCGCCAGCCTGGCCAGCCCAAGGGTTGAGGAACCTCCTCCAATTAAAAAGAGCCCATGGAGGGGAAAAAGAAGGGATAAGAAGTCTGAAAGAAGGACCTAGCTAGGACCCTCAGAGCCAGCTAGAGAGAAAGTATATCCAGGAGGCCAGGTGGAGGTAGGTGCCCCAGCCTAGGTTAGTGGCAGCTCACATTCAATCTCCACAAGTAATCCAGGCAAAGCCTTTCCTCCTGAGCATCCAAACACAGAGTGAAACACCCTAGCCCTGATGCTTCTAAGGTCAGTCAAACAGAGTCATTACTTTGACTAGTTTTGACTTCAATCTTTCATGCCAATCTGGTTGCTCTCCAGGCCTCCTCCATATCCAGTCTCATGTCATCTCTATATATACCATTTTAGCTTTTTGTTTTGTTCTTGATGGCTGCTTTGTTTCTGGACATGCTTGCTGAAGGCCCAGTCCTCAGGAGAAGCCTGAGGACAATGTACTGTCAAGGAAGTGACAGATCATAACTGTCAAAAGTAGGAGCTACCAGGCTCTGGGACTCTTCCAAAGCCAGCACCTGAGGACAGGTATCTGCTAAACCTGTGCTCCATTCAACAAACTGGGCCAGGCTGCCAAAGCCATGGGGGCTCCCGGAAGAAGGTCCAGTTCCTTCCTTAGTAGTTAAAAAGTAGTCCCCAGATACAGTCAGAGCAAGCATGACATTCACTAACATCATCAAACTCTGAGCATTTGAGAGTCCAACTGGCAGCATCAGAATGACCAACGGCCATCTCAAGAATAAGAGTAAAGTCTATGTCCATCCAGAGATTACAGATACAATGAAGCTCTTACCCCAGTCTTGATCCTTACCAAACTCAGGCTACCTCCCAACCTTTCCTTCTGGAAGACTCTGACAGTAATAGAGAAGAGGGGGTAGTGCTCTTTCCACCCTCTCTTCTAGGCTGGGCATCAGGGTGGGCAGCACCAGACAGCCACCCTGTGCCACCTGTTCTGCCAGCCCCCTCACTGGCAGGCAGCTCTGTGGCTGCTTTGCGCATCTGCCTCCTCCGGAGAGCCCAGCTCTGAAGTTGCCTGGCTGTGGACAGCCTGTTACCATGGAAACTGCATCCTCCATCCTTGCCATCGCCTTCATCTCAAAGCCATCGGGAGAACAGAGAGAAGGGGGAGACAGGGGATGGAGAGCAAACTGTGGCCTGGCTACAGTTCTCTGCACCCCTACCTCTTCGCAGCCTCCTACACAGGGAGCAAAACATTAACTGCCCAGGCCTGCGTCAGACCTGAATTCAGCAGTGGTCCACCCTTTGCTATCTAACAGGCCCTGGCCCTCCCTGCTGGAGGAAAGCATAAAGCTAATTAAAATCCCATAGCTTGCTCAACCCCAAATCATTATAACACATATTGGGTCCTGTCAAAATTCAGACTCAGGAGCAGGAAAGGAGGGGCAGAAGAAGGCAAAGGGCTAAAACTTCTACCTTAGCCCTCAGGCAAGGAAGGGGCCTATAGCAGTCCCTGTCGTCCTTCCTGGGAGACCACTCTCCCCTCTGTGCTCTGCTCACCAAGCAGGGATGAGTCTAATGGGATCTGGGGATAAAAGAGCAAGGGGGCAGAACCAGCACATGCCCTGTCCCTGAGTGATCAGGCAGGAAGAATAAACCTTTTCCTTGCTAGACAGGTGCAGCCTCCAGGGAAAAAGAGGGTAGCCATGGGCTGGCTTCTGGGTCCTCAATACCCAGCAGGAGTTACTGCCCAAACAGCATGTTGACGAGCCAGAAAATATTGGAAAATCATTGGAGGAAGGTGAGGCCAGCTGCCTCTCCCTCAGTTAGCCCCAGGGAGCCCTTGGAGAGCAGACTGCCAATGGCCAAGGACACCAGCTCAATGCCACAAGAGCCTAGTACTGCTGGGAAAGGGAGCCCAGATAGGCCTGAAGTCCCGATCAGCCCTGGAATACCACAGCCCAAGAAACTAAAAGTAGGTGGAAGCAAGGCCAAGACAGAGAGATCTTTCCTGGCCATTAGACTAGTGGTCATCTGACAAACTCCAACCCTAGGGCAGCTCATTCTCTCTCTCTCTCTCTCTCTCTCTCTCTCTCTCTCTCTCTCTCTCACACACACACACACACACACACACACACACACACACACACACACACACACACAGACCATCAGGTCCTCTTGAAGGGGGAAAAGACACAGACCTCCACAGTGTATGCCACCTAACAGAAGTCAGGCAGCCATGCCAAGGTTTTAGCGGGAACTGCTAGAAACTGGATTCAGGAATGCCAGTCCCTCAGACACACCTCCAGGCCTGCCAGAATCAGAAATAAGAAAGGGAGATTTCAGCGTATCCCACACTATTACTCTCCCCTCTACTAACATGGACTACCTATCCCAAAGTACTGGGAGGACCTCACCACCTTACACAAGGCTACCATCTTGGGGTATCTCAGCCACCTTGGGAACTTACTCTTCACCTCAGGCTAAGCCTATCTCTTGGATAGGGGCAAGTGTCTGCCCATACTACCCAGGGCTCCCACAAGGAGCTGGGCTGGTACGATGGGCTAAGGTTTCCTCTCAGGACACACAAGTAGATCTTTCTGAATTCAGGGATAAGGGAGGTAAGAGAGAGGATCTGCATATTTTGTTTTGCTCTCAGAACATCAGCCTGTATACTGACTTCAGCTGGCAGTGTGGAAGGGCAAGAAACAGAAGCAGTGAGGTCAGGCTAGAAACTTAAGGGGAATCCCACCTCCAGGCTGCTCAGGGACTACTAGATCTACTTAGAGATGGGTGGCAAATGCCCCAAATGAAGAAGCCGTGGGTGCAGGTCAAGGCCTGGGTCACACATCTCTTACCTAAGCTCCAGGCCCATAAAGAAGTGAGTTCTGCCTGATGCATCCTTCTTACCTCTTTGCTCACCCTTTGCTGCCCAGTCTCACTCACCCCTGTACCAGGCTGGACAAACAGGCAGTCACACAGCCAGCCAGCAGCTGCTGCAACCCACCCGAGGTGGAAGCTTCTCCTCGCTGGGGGAAGTGAGGCATGCTCATTTTTAATTACAAGGACATCGATAGGCTCCCGCCTGCACACAGAGGTCCTCACAAGTGGGGGCTCAGACCCTGGAGGTCCCTCAGGCAGCCGGTCTGCACTGCATGTGCAAAGTGCTTGGGGGAGGCACAGCAGGGAGGCCGCAGCTAGAATATAGCACATTATTATTATTCTGTCCAGGAACTTCCATCAACTCTCCCCCCTCCCTTACCCCTCTCCCCCAATCTCCCCCAGACTTCACAGTAGCTTCTGGCCCAGAACCCGAACCTGTGTCAAGTCCTGGGGAACCCCGATGAGAGCAGAGAAAGCCAACTGACGGGTTTGAGTACCTTCCTCCCTTCCCTCCCTGCCCCTCCTCACTCTACCCTACCTCTACCCAAAGCCTTGAAAAGTGTAAGCAAAGAAGCCAGTCAGGGAGGGAGGAAGCATCAGAAGTGGTACGGACAGCCCCACACAAGGATCTAGAATCTGAGCCTAAGCTACTGACAAGCAGGTGGTTTTTCTCTGGGCCTCAGTGTCTCCAATTATAAAATCAAAGAAGAATAGATACTTTCAAGAGAAGTGAGGAACTAGGAAAAACAAAAGCACTATTGTTTGAAGACAAGGCATTGCATATGTGGAAAACCACAAAAGAACGGATGATGGACAGGCCTACCTTAAACATCAGTAAACACCACGTTCACTCAAGGACAGCCCACTTCTTTGTGTGCCAGTCAACAAATTAGAAAAACACAACAGAAGCAAAAAGTCAAGACCTTCTTAGAATCAGGCTTAGCCCAGGGCCAGCCTGGAAGCCCCCAAATGGCAGGGATGACAAAGGAGCAGGGCAGGCAGGGCCAGACCTGGGAAGGAGCCTGGGGAAAGACTGCAGGGGGGGGGGGGGGGGGGGGGGG